CAAGCGGGTCTGGCCTAGGGAATTTTAGTGGGGTTTTTAAGGGTAATTTTAAGGGTAATTTTAACGATTGGCCTTTTCAAATATTTTCTTTTAATTTGGTTTTAATATGGATATTTATTGTACTGTGGTTTTATAAGGCTGTTAGCCGCCCTGAGTCCGGTGAGGAGAAGGGCGGGGTACAAATTAAATTATAAATAAAATAAAATAAATATCATAGATGTGTTTATTATGTATTGAATCATTAGATACTAACTCAGCTGTTCTGTGTATTATATAATTTTTCAACATACAGCATATAAAAGTGAGTTAATCTTACCAAATATAATACTAGTGATTTCTGTTTGTAAGTGGTGATAGTTACAACTTGAGGTAATCATTCTTATAAAGTATGTAAGCTTTTGCAATACACCTTGGAAGGCATATTCATTAGTCAACACATCAAAAAACTTATTTAAGTTGTTTTATGATTGGATACAAAGAAGTCTTATTAATTTCTTCTCATGTTTTCCACTGCAGCGGTGAAAAAATAACCAGTAAGGAGGTTTATATAAGCATGCATGTTGAAACTGTGGAGGTAGATTCTATCCCAAAGTTCTAGCTCTTGAATGTACAGAAAATATATTGCAGGACCTCAGTTTTCCGATATCTGTACCTGTTTGGTGACAAGAGATCAAAGCTATTTCATTTTCTCCCCCCCCCAATAAAATTGGTAATAAAATTAGCTAAAGCTCATAGGCAATTACCTTTCAATGATGCCAAAGGTCTGGACAGCAAAATATGTAGATAAATTACAAAAACTAAAACACAGAAAATAAATTTATTAATATTCTGATATTATTGTCCTTGTGTCAAATTATAGTAAAAAATTAAAATAAATGCAACTATAACATTTCTAAACAGTGTATTATAACCCAGAGGATAAAGAGCGTTAAAGTAAGGTTCTACAAAATTAACATAAATAAGGAATAAATTATTGTCAATTCTGAGATTCATTTTATATCTTATTTATTTGCTAACGCCTGTACTTCCTAAATTATGGACCAATTTTCAGTTCAAATTATGTATTTAAATGGTTTTTTAAAAAATTAAATGTTAATTTTAAATGAAAATATATTGCCTAATTCCATATGGAGAGAAAATACTTTACTTCAGATAGTCTCTGACTTAACAACCAGTATGTTTAGGAACTGTTTGAAGTTACAAAGGCACTGACTGTTTTTCACACGACTGTTGCAGCATCCCCATGGTCACATAATCAACATTCAGACATTTGGGAACTGACTCATATTTATGATAGTTGCAGTGTCCCAGGGTCATGTGACCACATTTTACGACTTTCTGACAAGCAAAGTCAATAGGGAAGCCAGAATCACTTAACAACTGTTGCTAACTTAACAACTTCAGTGATTTACTTAACAACTGTGGCAAGAAAGGTCGTAAAATAGGACACAACTCACTTAAATGTGTCNGAAGATGAGGAATCCCCAAAATAAAGTCACTACCAAGGTGGCCCAACCAGCAACATACATCCAACTTGGTCTGAAAAACAATATAATTTGTATATTCAACTAATTAAATTTAACAAAACTAGCATATAAATCACATTATTTATTAATATAGTCAGAGCAATTAAAATATTAAAGGGAGAGGAGATAGCCATTTTTCTGTAGATTCATAAAAGTTGTTGTGCATTATCTACCATTTCCAGAGAGATAACTTACTCTTTTCCAACAAGAACCACTTGTCAAGGTAATGATTTAGAAGCTAACCAGCTTGTATAATGTGAGATGAATGATGCAATGTTAGGAATGACTCAGAAGGAGTCTATATCCCTTTAAGACAGGTATGTCAAACTGCCGGCCCATGGGCCGGATGCGTCACGCCAAAACGGTGCCCACCCCATTGCTGACAATGGGGGAAAAGTCGTGATACGTTCCCGACATCACATGATGTCGTGAGTTTGACATGCCTGCTTTAAGAGCTTGAGTATAAAAGGGAAGGCCTTGCTGGAGTCTTTCTCATCCGTTTCCTGTTGTAATTACTGCATATTGGAGTTTACTGAATTATGACCACATGTATGTATCTTGTTTCTAGTGTATATTTGTAGATAGTGTAATACAAACCACTGTTTACTGTATTTACTCCTGGGCTATCTCAGCACAATAAGACTGCATGCTCTGACACAGCTAGATTCTGCTTCACCTGTTACCAGCTAAACCCAGAGAAGAAAGAAGTAGCAAATCTCAGTTTAACTGGAAATGAAATATTAAACATACTTAATTTCAAGAACTTTTCAATCAATGACAATCCAACTAACTTCAAAGTACAAGTAGTCCTTCACAAACAACTGGTTAGCAATTGTTTGAGGTTACGATGGACCTCACCAGGACTACTTACAACCTGGATTCAAAGTTCCAGTGACTCCCCCCCACCTCTGGTCAATCATATTTTGGGTCCTTGGAAACTGACCTGAATTTATAGCCATTTGAAGCGTCCTGCAGTTACACTATCATGATTTATGACTTTTTTGTTGGAAACCAGCATTTACTTCCAGTTTCTGGCAAAAAGCTCTGTAGTTTCTGTCTAAACTACACTAAGGCTACTTTTTGTATTATGCAATATTATGTCAGAAAACTAGTGACTGTACATATATGCTGCTAGATTTCACCCAGAATATTAAGAAAATATCTATAGCCAAGTTCTATAATAAAAACATACAACATGAAAAATTGTTGATTATTTCCAGGCTATAATATCCAGATAAAAAAGGCCAGATTAGTCGTTTACAGACATTGCAGAATATCACTTATCATTTCCAACTCATACCATCCCAGCATAATCCCATGTCCCTTTTAAAACTCTAGATTACAATCCTTTCTGGAGATATTCAGATCTAAAACATCTTCTCAACATCCCAACACAACACAAACCCTGCATATCCCCTAATATTAACTCTGTCATCATACCATATCAGGTCAGGAGATACTATAGGATTGAACAGAATTAACTATAACATTAAACATTCCTTGACTTATCCATCTTTCAGTATTAAATAGGCAATCATCTTCCTGCACTGCCTCCTGGATTCTACAAAAAGCAAAAAGTTGTTCTCTACATAAAATAATAGTCATTAACCTGACATCTGAAAGGCCAGTGTTAAGAAATCAATGAGAGCAGTTCAGCCTTTTCAGCCATTTTGTGCCTGTCTTCAAAGAAAGACTACAAAAGGAAAATGAATTATAATTTATCAAGAAGTTCAATTTTATCTCTTGGAGCTTGAATTTGGATTTTTTTAAACCATTAAAAATGTACTACACTTAAATACTACATGTATTGAGTGAGCAAAACAGGTTGTTTCTGTTATCAAAGTGGCAGGGAATGGTCAAGGGACACGCTGCTTATTTTTCATGCACTTAAGTTTAATATAGTTGCTATAGCCTATGTTCTGGCAGTTTATTTCTATCTGATCTTGTTTCCAATTTTTTTCTCATTAAGTGAAAACTGAAGAACGAAATTTATTCTTAGAACCTGTAATATGGCATTAAAGGAGATAGCTAAAGGTCACTATCTGAAATACATTTCCCCACCGCACCTGCTTGAAAAAGTATATATCATAGATGTGTTTATTATGTATTGAATCATTAGATACTAACTCAGCTGTTCTGTGTATTATATAATTTTTCAACATACAGCATATCAAAGTGAGTTAATCTTACCAAATATAATACTAGTGATTTCTGTTTGTAAGTGGTGATAGTTACAACTTGAGGTAATCATTCTTATAAAGTATGTAAGCTTTTGCAATACACCTAGGAAGGCATATTCATTAGTCAATGCATCAAAAAACTTATTTAAGTTGTTTTATGATTGTATACAAAGAAGTCTTATTAATTTCTTCTCATGTTTTCCACTGCAGCGGTAAAAAAATAACCAGTAAGGAGGTTTATATAAGCATGCATGTTGAAACTGTGGAGGTAGATTCTATCCCAAAGTTCTAGCTCTTAAATGTACAGAAAATATATTGCAGGACCTCAGCTTTCCTATATCTGTACCTGTTTGGTGACAAGAGATCAAAGCTATTTCATTTTCTTTCCCCCCCCCCAATAAAATTGGTAATAAAATTAGCTATAGGCAATTACCTTTCAATGATGCCAAAGGTCTGGACAGCAAAATATGTAGATAAATTACAAAAACTAAAACACAGAAAATAAATTTATTAATATTCTGATATTATTGTCCTTGTGTCAAATTATAATAAAAAATTAAAATAAATGCAACTATAACATTTCTAAACAGTGTATAACCCAGATGATAAAGAGCGTTAAAGTAAGGTTCTACAAAATTAACATAAATAAGGAATAAATTCTTGTCAATTCTGAGATTCATTTTATATCTTATTTATTTGCTAACGCCTGTACTTCCTAAATTATGGACCAATTTTCAGTTCAAATTATGTATTTAAATGGTTTTTAAAAAAATTAAATGTTAATTTTAAATGAAAATATATTGCCTAATTCCATATGGAGAGAAAATACTTTACTTCAGATAGTCTCTGACTTAACAACCAGTATGTTTAGGAACTGTTTGAAGTTACAAAGGCACTGACTGTTTTTCACACGACTGTTGCAGCATCCCCATGGTCACATAATCAACATTCAGACGTTTGGGAACTGACTCATATTTATGATAGTTGCAGTGTCCCAGGGTCATGTGACCACATTTTACGACTTTCTGACAAGCAAAGTCAATAGGGAAGCCAGAATCACTTAACAACTGTTGCTAACTTAACAACTTCAGTGATTTACTTAACAACTGTGGCAAGAAAGGTCGTAAAATAGGACACAACTCACTTAAATGTGTC